TATTATTATTATTATGACATGTCTCTCGAGGTTGAGTTGATCGATTAGAGGTTTCTCCAATTGTTGTAACAACTTTTAATGCGACTGGCTTTTATATGCACCTTACTTTTATAGTATAACACATCGTATAAACTTATTTAAATAAAAATAGGCTTCGTTTTTTGGTAAATCAGTCGGGAGGATTTCTCCTATCAATTATAGAAATGAGAAATGAAACTTAAGACGTCATGTTGTACTATCCACCACCGTCACCATCTATGCTTTTAGTTCATTTCATTTTTGGGCAAACTAAGAACCATTAACCTCATTAAAATCGAAAAACACAACAGTTTGAAGGTTTTTGTTAGGTTACTTTCATCTCAACTTTTTTACACTCTTACCTTTGGCTTTTAAAATAACATTTTTCGAGTTAAGGTATTTTTTGTAATTAACACAAGTAAAATAAATATTTTTATAAAAAATTAGTGGCATTCTAATAATATTTTAAAAATAATTAATGCTCTGTATGAGTAATGTCATATTTCATATAGATGATATTATTATCCACTATAAATAATAAATATTTTTCTTTATGTCAAAACTTTTTACTTTATTCTTGATTATACAAATAAATAAAAATATATATACATTGGAGTACCCCAACAAAACCCTAGTTTAAAATTTAAGTACCTCTTGGCGCACTTCCCTTTCTCATACAAGTTCGTTATTGTCAAAGGTATCCAAAAAATGCGAAGCACCTTTTAGGCTTGCCGTCTAACTAATAATAGAGAAAATGATTCCAAAACATAAGAGATTATTTTATAAATGCAAAGGCTGAAATAAGGTTGGCGAAGTAAGGTGCACCTCAAAGTAGAAAAGAGTATTTTGAAATTGAAAAATCTTCCAGTTGATTATCTCGATCTCAAGTTCTATGAATATAAAAAAGAAAAAAAAAAGAACGTCAAGTCATAAAAATAATGCATCTTGTAACAAATTATCTAGTCTATATAATTTTAAGTGTTTATATATCTGTTTGTATGCACCATATTTGAAATTTCAATTTCATAATCAGCGTTGAATATAGATTTTCAAGCTATCCTAAGATTTTTGATATGGAAAGCACATCTTCTAACAAAATTTGTTTTAAATTTCATAATCAACGTTGAACACATGAATTTTCAAGTCATGGTAAAGCATCTTATATCATAGCTACATCTTCCAGCAAAATTAAATAATGTGCCCTACGTGTATGGTCTATGGAGGAGACCTTATAAAAATACTCATCCTTATTTTTTTTATTTGTCACTTTGGATAGAAAAGTTCAAAAGTGGGTTTGCATAAGGTTACAACTTTTCATCCTTATTTTTTTTATTTATCACTTTGGATGGAAAAGTTCAAAAGTGGGTTTGCATAAGGTTACAACTTTAAACAATCAAAGTAGGCAGAACCTCCAAACTTTGTCATAGATGTAATTTTGGTATGGGAATAGTTTATATAGAGGCGAGGCTCTAAAAAATCAAATATTTAGAGCCTACCTCAAAAACTTTACTACAAAAGGTTGTTTTGATACCCAAATATCATCAAATTGATCATCTTGACATCAATATGCATGGACATAAGAAAAAAATAGATTCCAAGTTTTGGAAATTATGTATTTTGTAATGCATTT